AGCTTCTAACTGCATGGTCTATTCACAGTAAGCTTCATAGGCCCATATCTATGGCCACTCAGGAAGACATAATCCACAGTAACCTGCAGCTAGAATAACTGACTCTTTCATATAGCAGCTTCATTATTAATCATCATAGTCAGCTAGGACTCATTGAACAGCTAAATCACCTAGCTACTGATACTCTATATTGAAAGAGGTCTTTTAGGTACTGAATTTTCTCCTCTTGAACACAGGAATGGCAGGGTAACTCTTCAATGAGAAGTTCAGAGCCTTTTTCAACTGGATTGTGTCACTAAGTGCTGAAATAGATGTCTTCACAGACTTAAACTCAAGAGTAAGACATGTGGGTGTGGTCGTGGCCACACCTACTTTTTGAACACTCCCACTTTCAGCCACACCTTTGCCCTACTTGCAGTGAAATCCTGCAGCCGCCTATGCCTACTACTAGGAGTGTTAGATATAAAGGTATTGTAATATTAATAGTTGTTAATGTAATGGTTCATGATAATAGAGAGAGTTTTACCTATTGAAGAAAGTGTTAGAGCTAAAGGTATTTATTAAGTTTTTTTGTTTATTTTTATCTATGCAAGTATAGAGACAGTTGAACCCACTACAGATATTAGTACTGCAGCCAAAGAGAGCAATAGAACTAAAGGTACTATTATGCAATTTTTGAACAAAGACAATTGTGCCTGCCTACGCAAGTGTTACAGGTTTTTAATTGTTATTATTGACTTACGTAGAAACAGAGAGAGTTATACGTACTGCTAAGGGGAGTAAGGGAAGTGTTAGAACTAAAGGTATTAATATACTAGCTTTTTATAAATGTTGATGTAATATAGAAACAACTGTAAGTCCTGCTAATGCAACTACTGCTAAGAAAAGTGCTAAAGGTGTCACATAATTCTTTTATTTTATTTTATTATTTTTAATATAGAATCAGCTGATTATCCTACTGCAAAGAAGAGTGTTCAAAGTATACAATAATTAATTTTGCTATTAATTTTATAGTTTATGCCTAGGTGCACATAGAGTTGATACAAGAAGGAGTGTCAGAACTAAACGTAGTAAAATTTTAATTATTATTATCTTTATTATTATTATTGATAATTACAGAAATGGAAAGAGTTGGACAATGTACAGTGAATAATGGTATTGCTAAAGGTATTTATTTTTAATTAATAATTTATGACGATTTATTATTCAATAATACAGATGCAGTCCCTCCTACTACTTATGCTACCAAAAGGAATGTGAAATCTAAAGGTAAAGGATAACATCTTGACATAGTCTAATTATACTACAATAATAGTCAAGTCTGATTGTTCCCTAAAGCAATGTTCACATCCTGATGAGTCTAATTGGGTCTTTTGTTGCAGCTGCAACCAGTGGTATCACTGTTATTGTTATAAAATTTCATTTCAAAAGGCGAAATCAAAAAACTTTAAATTTACATGTAACAACTGTAAATAATAACTAATTTTAATAATAATCAATAATGTTAGGCGTGTCCGTTTATTGTAG